AGCTTTGTTATCAGGGTAGATTGTATAAACACCGCTGATTCTTGCTCAGCACAATTCCTGGCTGCTAACAAAAAATAATTTAAGCTTGGTTGGTTTGATTACGGATATTGGGGAAAGACCATGAAACAAAGAAAGTCAAGTAAAAGAAACAAGCAGCGAGTAAATTATCAGCACTTTTTAACCGGCGAATCTAATTAACTGCTTGCCACTTTGTTGATAGCTGTCTTCTTCGAGTTAGATTTACAACTCAAGGGTTATAATTAGGAATATATCAGAGAACTAAGACATACTGTTATTTACATTTCTCGGAACCTTCTTTGTTGTTTTTGCAACTTATTGAAGTTGCACGAGTTGAAGATAGCATTTGAAACGTGAATAAGAGTGTCACTGAGCAACAAATTAGAACTTTGTGAAGCAGACATTATATGATGAAATTTTTTCTCCAACCTTAAAGCTGTATATTTTGTGATGAAGCACAGTTGTAGACTGAATAAATTCCAGCTGCTCAACCATGTATTTATACCCAAGATATTCCCTAAAGCCAATACGGTGTGAAACTGTAGAGGTAATAAAAATATGCTCGAAGACAACCCTACTTCCCAGGAATCTCCCTATACTCCTAAAGGAGTATTGCAAGTTATTGAAGCTGCATGAGTTGAAGATAACATTTGAAACGTGAATAAAAGTGTCACACTGAGCAGCAAATTAGAAATTTGTGAAGCAGACATTATGTGATTAAATATTTTCTCCAACCTTAAAGCTGTTTATTTTGGGATGAAGCACGGTTGTGGACTGAGGAAATTTCGACCGGGAGCTCTTTTCAGAGCTCACTAAATCCTAAATCCCCGTTCGCCCAGCAATCTGTATGCGATGGGCAGTTCTCTTATGAGCTCACTGAACCCTCGATCGTCCAACAAACTGTCAATGATCGGGAGCTCTTTCCAGAGCTCGCTGAACCCTTGATCGTCCAACAAACTGTCAATGATCGGGAGCTCTTTCCAGAGCTCGCTGAACCCCCGATCGCTGATGTTACTAAACGTGGTGCTGCCATACGTTGACATTGTTACACAACGGATTTCTATTTGCAAAAAACTTTTTTCTTCAAAATACACACAGAAACCCAGACGTGAATCTCCTTTTCCTAATGCAGTCAACTCCCGATCCTCCAAACCTCCGATAACTCGAACCTAGAAGCAATTTTCGTTCAGTTCACGCTTCGTTGGTTTAAGGTACATCAGTGCGTGTATCCTCAACTCCCGTTAACTCGATCGAATTCCCGATAACTCGAAACCTTTTCACAGTTTGCCTTGAAGGTTCGAGATATCGGGAGTCGAGTGTAATTTAATAGACCAGGAATTGAAAATTTAAAAAAAAAATGCGCATGCTCTGAACAGGTAAAACAATCCCACGTGTATCAGTTAAAAAGTACGGTATTTCTTACTTACCTTACCCAGGTAAAAATATAAAGTGGGATCCCGCCGATCCCACCTGGGATCCCAGGTGTGTCCCAGGTGGGATCCCACCTGGGATTATGGAACATCCTGCGTTAAATTCCTAATAGCATCCCACCTGAGAAAGCACATCCCAGGCGAGATTAAACCAAGAATCCCACCAATCCCTCTTGGGATCCTGCCTCAAATTTCGGATAGTTTCCCACCCGGGAAATCATATCCCAGGCGGGATTGCACCTGGGATCCTGCCAATCCCGGTTTAGACCCTGCATAAAATTTCAGATGGCTTCCCACAGGAAACATCCTTAGTGGGATCCTGTTTAACACTGGAGACCACAGATTTATAAAATGTACCAGATGGGATATCTTATCGATTCCTTTTGTAACCTAATCCTTCAAATTAAGAGGATAAAATTTTCTAGGTGAGCTATAGACCCCATCAAATTTACTGAGGGTCCAAAACTTTCCAATTAGCTATAGAACATACTGACACCTCCAATTGTAACATCAAACAGTACATGAATACACAGAATATATGTGATCAAGATTTCACATTTTATTTGCAATGAACCAGCATGTGTTCGACGTTGTTTCATTAACAAATTTCTTAACCGAACACTTTTAAAGAATAACAGCACAACTCAGCACATTACTTTTTCTTCATTATTTATGCAGACCATTTACAGTGTAATATGGCTCAAAGTTTAAAAAAAATTGGCTGTTGTATATCAAAGAATAGAAGAAAGACAAAACTTCAATAATTCATGTTATCAAAAATTTGACAAAGAAGGTAGTGATTTAAATTCTGCTCTCTCTTTAGTCGAATTTTTCAAAGCAAAGCAAGGTCAGAATGTTCCCAAACGTGACTAAAGTAATTTTGAAACCTTGCTGATAGATTTATATCATTGTAAAGTGTAAGCGTAGGAAACTGCAGCAAGTGACCAATTCGATTCTCAGAATTATTCGAGTTTCAGTTGTGCCGAGCGTTACGTAAGGTTAATTCAAGCCGTTATATCTATTCTTTGGTAAGATTTTGATCACGTAACGAATATCACAATTTGTACTCACCACAAACTTTCAAAATCCTAGCTTTATAAATGACCACTCGATCGTTGTTTGAACCAGTCAATATGTCAACTGTTAATTGTCCCTTCTTTTAATTCCACAGCGCCAACGACTTTCTTTTCATTTACAACACTGACGCTGTTCTCGTTTTCCCATTGATCCACAAAAAAACCCATCTTTAGAAGTGTTGTATTAAGCAAAACAGTTCAGAAAAGAAACAACTTGAAGCAAGAGCGGTTAATCGATGAAAAGTACATTCAAAGATGAGCGCCAAATAGAGTTTTCTTTACTGTAAATGGTTTGAACCCGGGGGTAACATGTAATAGTGTAGTTTGATCGTCCGGGTGAGTGGAGTCCTGAAAAGGACTGTGTCGGTAGTGGTGACTGACGTTTCGACAACCCATAGTTAGTAGAGGGGACTGGTTATGAAAGTCGGCAATCTTCAAAGCGCGAAACAATAGGGCCGCTTCTGATGTTGAACGTACCTGTCACGTGATCGCGACGGTGCACAACTTTCAAAGATGGCGGATGCAGGAGACGACTTATTCTTGTTCGGCGATGATCTTGAGGCAATTTTAGACCTTCTTGACAAAGATGAACCACTACATGAACAATTTTCAACTGTTCCAGTGAAGTAAGTGCCAATTATATAAACATTCACCCGTACTTAGTCTGTTTCCAAAGGAATTACGGAGCTGCACGCGACTGTGCTGTCACGCCAGCCAAAAAACAGTAAATAAATCATTGATCCGACGGTTTTGATGATTCTTTTCCCTCTATACTCTAGCAATTTCATAAAAAAATGCGTTCACTCTCTTTAGCAGAAGTGCTGTGGTTGCTTTAGGTGCTGAAATTTGCCCGATTACACTTTGTTTTGAGAAGACTTCACGGGGCATGCAAGGACAACAACAAACTCGATATTGTCAAATGTGTCTTCAGGAAATAAGACCAGTGACATCAGATCGTAGAAAGTCGAGGACTGAAGACTACAATATTATTGAATTATGATTTGATAATTTTTCGTTTTCAGGTCGAATCAACAGAGATCGTATGCAGCGATTGTCGAAAAAAGTAAAAATCAAGAGGAGGCTACCAAAGGCACAGAGCTACAAAGAACAATGCAAATCAAAACGCACATCATTTAACTTTGACGCCAAGCATTCTTTCCGAGATAGTAAACAATGCTTTGAAGAACATTAGTGAAAGGGAAGTGTTTGCAGCAGATCTAAGGAACGAGTTAAAACAATATGAATATGAAGGGCCTGGGGGAGAAACACAAGAATTCACTGTGATAAAGAAATTATTTGAAGACTATTTCAAAACTGGGAATGCTGAGAAATTCTATGGCAACTATTATACCCAAGTACCATTGAAATCTACAATTTTTTTCAAAGGACTGTCTCGTAATGCTGCAACACTTCTTGCGACCAAGGTAGCTGATTTTATCCAATCCTTCTGCAAAGGCACCAAGTCTTCTGACAAAAACCCACCTTCTGTTCAAACAGTACTGTCAGAGAAAGAACGAGCTGGTCTGCAGTATGTTGGTGGATATTTGTTGCATAACTTGCACAAAAAGTATGCAAGAAAGAACACAACTGAGACTCAACAGGCAATGGCAATCTTGAGAGCTGGTAAACTGGAGCATGGATATGAGAACCAAAAACTGGTATCAAGTTTAAATCGTGGGGGATTGTGGAACATTACAAAGTATGCACAGAGCATTTTCCTCAAAACAGAGTGTCATTTTAGACAATTAACTTCAGTAAATTCTTTGCAAAAAGTGGATATTGCTGGCATAGTGCATAACACAGTAACTGACAGTGCGATATTGTCAAGCTATCAATGTATGGTTTCAGAGGCAGAGCTGATACCCAATGTTGAAGTGAGCAACAATGTCTTCCATGCTATTGTAAGTTTATATATAAAGGTACGGTCATTTTCTTGTGCTAAAGACATTTACACGCTACAAAATTAATGCAAAGCAATCAAAGGGTAAAGCACTCCGAAAGGAAATCATGAGGAGTCATGAACAAGAAACAGTTAGGCAAGAGTAAAATAAAACATTAACTGGCATAGAACTGAAATATCTTACTAGTTGTTCAATTCCCTGCCTTCCCTATAATATATGAATGGTAAAAATGCAAAAATAGCAGTTAGTATGGTACCCTTCAAATGAGACAAAAAGCACTGTGACCTGTTAGCCTCAACTGTATAATTTTGAAAACAAAATATCTTTGTGGGATTAACCGTAATGACAGAAATTAAAATATGGACCATTGTCTATAAACCCAAAACCTACTTCTGTGAAACTGTAAAATGTTTTGAAATAATTCCTGTCATGTCAAGATTCTCAGACAGACTTCTTTTTTATTTAACTTTTGAATTTTTTGGCAGCACTCCATGCAATTACACTTGTCCTCTGATAATGATATACATGTATAAATATACATAAATCCTACCAGGCAATTGCAAGCCACAGTTACATTAAAGTTTGAGCTTTTTTCGACACGGCAATTTCTCATCTGTAACCTGCACCCATGCTCTCTTCTTGTCCTTCCTGCCTCTAGTGTTTCCACTTTGACGTGAAATTGACCTCTCAATTCTTATAGTGTTGCTATTGTACCCAAACTGACTTATGTCTGGGTTGTCACTTCGTCTACCGAGCTGTCGCTGCTTACCAAAGAACTCTTCTGCAGGATCCTGACAGAATCGTTCCGTCAGAACATACTCCATACCCTCTTGAAGAAGGAACTTGGTAGATTCAATGGTAGATTGAACAGTAAGCTGGAAGCCTTCGTACGTCTGCCAGGAGAGAAACATGCGTGCCCTTGCATTCTGACTGAAGTTTCCGGGTCTGTTTTCTGTGCTCTCTTTCCAGCTTCTCAGATACTCGAGGAATTCCATCAAGAACTGAAATCTATGAAAAATGTCGAAAAAAATTTATTGCTTAAAAATAGATTTAATTGATTATTGTAGAAAAAAAAGACAAATACCACAATACTGACTTATTCAATCAAATAGACTTATAAAACCCCAAAAATACATAACAGACCTCAACCCAAAAAAATACCGAAGGTGTAAATTTTCAAACCAAAAAAAAAAGGTTGGAACCCCCCCCCCCCATCATGTATGGTACGAGTATCCCCCCCCCCCGGCTCTGTCACACAAATTCAAACTGGTTTGAATTCCTGTGACATATCACAGGGACAAAATAAGCGCAAGCAGCCTTGTCGCAGCATGTGTACACTTCTGCAACAAGTCACTGTGACAAAATTAAAATCAACCAGAGTTGCGGGAGCTTATTTAAAAGTGAAATGCCAAGAAATGCAAAATTTGTATGGCAATAACACCATTTTTGCAGGGACATTAACATGACTAAATATGCATAATAAATTAGTATCTACCATGAAACTCGACATACCTTTCATCCTGAACAGATCTGTAAGGAGCCAAGAATGGCTTACTGTTGTTTGATTTTCGATGAAACGGGAGAAAAGACGGGCGATTCGCAAGACGACTACGGACTGGTCGCCATCTTGAAGATCTGTGTGCACCATCAAAATCACGTGACATGCAAAAAACACAACAAAGAGTTCGGCCTTTGAAGGTCGCCGGCTTTCATAACCAGTCTCCCTCCATTAACTATGGACAACCTGAACGGAAGTCATCATCAGAGTCAAGTGAAAGGTTGTTGTCAGTCGAATGTACTTAGTCCGGTTTGTGTACACTGATTGGTCAGTTTTGCCGTGATGTTATTGGCTGTAAGACTCAAGTGGCAAAGGTCAGTCGTGATTGGTCGGTTTGGATCCGTTAGTGAAGTTAGGTCGTTCTGTTCGGTTCGTTTATAATGTTAATTCATCCACGACATTAACATTACAAACATTACAGTCTTACAGCATTTGTTCCTATGCTCTACTTCGTAGGTTTTTTTTCCTTTCGTCGATTCGGTAAAAATTGCGTTAGAGCGTTTCAAAGACTTTATTTCGTCCATCATTTATGATGTAAGTAATTTTTCGATGAGACAATCGAATGTTTATCAAACTGTCGTAAGTTTGATATGAAGCGAAATGTATGTTGTTTAGGTTGTAGCGAGAGATGAAAGTATTATGGCTTTTGAAAAATCGAATACGCGCGCTTTGAGTGTGATATCAGAAACAATAGATAAAACAATAAGTTTTGTTTCTTAGCTCCGCCTTGACAAGTTAATGAGCTAATGCAGTATTCCCTTCGGAGGAAAGCGCGCGTGATCTTCGACCAATGAGAGCCTCCCTGTTTACGCTTCGCCGCTTATATTACAGATCTATAACATTTTCGCCACTGCAAGTAAATGTCGCGAGAACAATAGAATTTAGAAAGATAATTTTTTTACTGATATCACTTACGAATATATTAATTTGTCGTTAGACCGCCACGGCTGACTACAATTAAGATTACACTTTTCAGCGTAATTTCAAAACACGAGAGGGTGTGCACAAAGTTAAATTATTTAATCGTCAATTTATGATTTATTTTCGCCATGAAACAAGATAATGTGAGAAAATGGAATTGAGAAACGAGGAAGCAACACCGGAGTCCTACTCTATCCACCATAAGCGGTAGAATGCACTCTGAGTTCCGCTTGAACACTCAAAAAAGAAATTAAGCGAGACAAATACATGAGTACCAAAGTACTCCTCCAGTATTACCGGTATTTTCTTTTTCTAATCTTTATATGGACCTTTGGAAAGGCTGTGATCAATTATTAATCAATTAATCTGGCCATGAAGACGGATAACGTGAGCAAATGATGCTGAAAGACTGGGGTGTTAGTTAAGTTACTCACGAGCAAGATCAGAACGTCATTATTTCTCTTCGCGAAGGAATAAACCGTGAGTCACGCTTGAACACTCAAATTTAACAATCAGCAAGCCAAATACCTGAGTACCTGGGTCGCTCTGACGAAGGGCTAACGCTCTAAACGTCAGCTTTGAAACTCTTTACAGGCGCCAGTTTACGTTATCAAAGTTGATAATACCAAATTACCTAAAACCTCAACCACAATTATTTTCTTTTTGAAGTTCAGTTTTTCCTACGTGATAATTGCATTGTTGATCTTTAAAGAGATTTTCTCTTCACCCCTCCTCCAGCGTGACACTGGTTTGAAGGTTTAAAGAATTATGTCAAAATATTTTTGCTCTCTTTTAATGGGTCACACATACAGCAACCTGATCTGAAGGGCTCGATCGGCCAAATTTTAAGACAGGCCGCGTACAAAGTATTTCGTATTATTTTGAAAGCATGTTTATCAGCCTTAAAAAAAATCGTACTCATGACGCGCTATGTCAAATTATTATGAACTTTTCACGACAACAAGAGATGTATGATGCAATAATGTAAACCTTCACATGTGTAATGTACAAGTGGTTTTTTTCCTCCCGATCATACCTGCGATAAATTTTTAACAGACGTTAATATAATTCTTGAATTATGAAGGCATATTTCAATATGTTGAAGAATTTCTTATCCTCAGGTAATGATTATGAAATGACGAAGTTTCATGACGCAGTGATCTTAATCAGCGCGTTAGTACCTGTACTCAGTGTAAGGAAAATGTTGTTTCTTTGAAAGACTGATCATGAACACAAGTGCATCCTTTCATCATGAAACGGAAAGCCAGTGGCTCACACGCAGACTGTATCCGTGCCTTTGACTCATCCAGGGTCATTTTTGACGAAACATATATAGATGACTGTGGGTGTTCACGGGTTTTAGGTGAGATTGACTTTAACGTGTGGCATATACAAGTCTTCAAAATCAGTAGGGTCACTGATGAACGTTTTCTGCTATTTATTACACCCATTTTGAAACCACTGGTGGTCGCTGTAATCTGATTGGCTCTAATTGGTGCGATTTATTCACGAAACACACCATTTTTTTGCCTTAAATCAAATCTTTTTCCCAGCCAATGAGGAGGCCACATTAAAAACAAAACAACCACTTAGATTTCAAGGCTTGTTTAAAGTAACCAATCAAATTGCAGGAAAATGAAAGACAAAGAGTATCATGAGGCAAATTTTGGAACTTTTGTTTCCAAAACTCTTATCCCCCCCCCCCCAAAAAAAAAAAAAATGGATGAATTTAACTTCAAACCAGCTCACTACTACGTCAATAAAATTTGGGCGATTTCAAAATGGATGTAATAAAGTGGTTATTGAACTTCGTGTCGTGCAAATTTGGTCTGCAATCATACTTGTGATTTCAAATTGAACTCGCACCGCGAGCTCGTTCGATTTTGAAATCACGCGTACGATTTCAGCCCAAATTGCACTCCACTCAGTTCAATTACCATTATTATCAATTGGTTCATACGTCAGCGTGCGTTCATGGAGATATGAAGCACTTCCGAAGCACGGAAGTTTGGAGAGCACGAAAGATGCGTAAGAGGCTTCGCCTCGAGCAACTCTAGCTTCTTGAGTCGATGAACGCACAGCTGACGTATGAACCAATTGTTTTATAACATTTTCAACCCGATGGTTAAATGTTGTAAAAGGGTTAATATTCTCTCTGCTACGCCTCAGCGCGTTGATAATAGTTTTTAATTAGACTTTTTTTTATTATTATTTTAGTCTTAAAGGTGTCCCAAATTAGTGCCAAAGGCACTAGAACGATGTATGTGTAAGAGACAGGAAATAAACGTTATATGGTGTGGTCTTCGGTGACCGCACGCAAAATATCGCGGGCGCTCTTTCCCACGAAAAGCAGGGAGTTACTACATCACGGGCGACGAGCGGGGATAGAAAAAACGACCCAAATATGAGCGGTCAGCGGTGAAACAGCTTTTATACTTCATATAGAGACATATAATTTGTTGTTCCGGAGACAATCGTGTTGTAAAGCCGAAATGTTAACAGTTTACTTCACAGTTTAAGCAATTTTTCAAAAGTGTTGATTGAATTCATATCTTTTATTGCCTTAATAAACAATGGAGGCTTCGGAGAGGGAGTCAGTGGCATTTGGAAAGGCACCAAGAATAATTATATATGGTTTGTAGCTAGCTGCGTGACGTGCGTGACGAAAAAAAAGTATCATGATTTCCGGTTGTCAAAAATGTCAATCAAATTTGGCAGGAACTTGGTTTTCGCACTGTAGTTTGCTTTTCCTGGAAGATTTTGCCATGGATGAAGACCAAAAGCCAACAATGTTAAGAGATTTAGAGATCGACTTCTTGAAAGAACATCTCAATGGCTTTTCTGTTGAAGGCAATTATTGTTTTGGATATTTCGAGGGAAACAAAGCAGAGATGGATGATCTGTTAGTTTCATTTCAGGCATTGAACTCCACGTGTTATGTACTTACAGAAAGCCATTCAAAAGAGAAAAACCACAACAGATTTTCTCAAACTGGTATATAATCTCTCAGTGTTTTAAAGTGCACAGATCCCGGTTTCCTATCCTGACTCTCCTAATTCAGGGATAATTTAATTGAGAAGAATCGCCGTCTTTCAGAGTTTATGGTAAATTTCTTCAAAGGCAGTCTTACACGATTTGCGAGAAGCTGCGTCTGAACTACCTATTTATATTTCATTCATTGAAAAGGTCATAGACAGGCCTACACAGACTCCCCTGTGTGGTTTTACGTTTGCGACGCAAAAGCCTTTAATTAAAGCTTCGCTCTGACGAATATGTCTTTGAGCGATTTACCTCTTTTGTATGATATAATCGGAGGCGTTTTGTAAATTGTTTTCAGCAGTGGCTGATTTTGGATGAGGTTCCATTCTCGCATCAGTATTTGTTTTAAATTTTTAACCCCTGGGTGGTATGCTGTCACAAAAGGCAATATTTTGCCTGTAGTTTTTTTGGTCTGTTTTTTAAGTGTCGACTGCCTTGCGGCAAACGAGACCTCAGTTAACGTTTTTTCAATTAGGCTTTTTGGGTAACCACGTGCTTCAAGTCGTGTTTTGAAGTTACACATGGCCTCCTGGAAATTTCTTTCCGAGGAGTTTGTTCTTAGAAGTCTGATAGCTTCTCCTTTAATAAAGCCTTCCTTAACACCTGGCGGATGGCAAGATGAATAGTATGTATATTGAAAGGTCTCGGTCGGTTTGTAGTGAGTTTTGACGTCGAGGATAGCTTCGTTTTGGAATCTTTTGGACTGATTTTTCAGAGATGACAATGTTGTACTTTTCAACATGTTTATTATCACTCTGAAAGCGTGTACATATAAGATCTTTCAGCTCTGAAAGCTGATTTTCTATTTTGTCTATCCTGTCGGCATCAGTATTTACAGTGTTCTTCAAGGGCGAACGTGATCTTTCACGTGTATTTACATTGTATTGTGATCGAGACTTGACAATATTAGCCTTTTCAAGTTTGTTCTTGTGACTAACAAGTCTACGATGATGGAAGCGCACTAGGGCGCTAACGTATTGTTCTTCGGCGTGACTTTTAATAGCGCTTATTTCCTGTCGAAAGGTTTCGTCAGGCGTGACGTTTGCCTTCGCCTTGTATTGTAGCGACTTAGGGCAAGTCTTTTGTTGTAAGTGTCTCTCCAGTTTTAAAATGGAGGTTTCAGTTTTTTGCTTCTTGAACTGGATA